TGGGAGTTTGACTGTTACTCCGGGTCCCTTTTTCGTGGGGAATCCTTTCTTGGGGTGTAGGCTCCACTGCTTAACAACTCAGAGGTTTATTAATCCGGGGTCAACAGCAATTTCAGGTTCTGTTCGTCATATTCCGTTGACATATATAAAATATGATCCGACACCCCACATCTCGAAGGCTGGGTTTGGACAAGCGATCAAGGTAAACCAATTTTCGTTGGGTTTCTAGGGACACCAAAAGGAAGACCACAATTCTCCGGGGTCCCCCAAAACAAGACACACCCAAATGGGTATGTGGTATGTGGATTTGCCCCCTGCGGATTTACCACGGAACGCAACTTGGGACCACGTGCCTGGGTTAAGAATGGGGTCCAAAACGAGCCTGATCAAACCACTCCGCCCTCACTTCCTGAGTGGATGGCCCCAAAAAATTCACCAGGGACTTCTAACTTACCACTAAAATCTGAGTGAATTATAATATTCCACCAACCTGAAATAAGGTGGTTGGGGGGCTATTCCACACATGATTCACCATTTGGGGTGAGGTCATGTGAAGTCGTTATAATTCACCCAGCAAAATGGGTGACCCAACCCGAAAAAACGACCAAGGCCCGAGTCCCGGAACGCCCAAACGAGCGCCCACGCCCAACGGGTTCTGGGCGTGCCCAAACGCCCCACACCCACCCCCGAAGCCCCGAAGCCCCGCGGAAGCCCCGGACCTCAGGCAGCTTCTTGGCGCTCTGCTCCGTGGCCAGCTCCAGGGCCAAGCAGCCCCCGCCCCCTGAAACGGCACAACCGCGACCGGAGGCGCAGGCGGGGGGCAAGCGGAGGCGGTTTCAAGCGGAGCAAAGGGCGAAAAACGACCGGTGGTCGATGCTTATCCTTTCGGCTGGAACTAAGGGCCCCAGCCAACAAAAAACACCGAGAGGTCTTTTTTGTTTTTTTGGGGCTGGTTAGTGCCCCGAAAGAGCAGAAGTCAAAAAGGGGATCTGATTCTAGAGAAGTTCCGTGGTTGCTCCTTGATTCTGAATAATGTTGACCTCATATGAATTTCAACCATCCAGTTAATGAATAGGGGTGTTTTTTGGCCCCTCCAAAACTGGTCTGATTCCCCACTAAACCCAGAAACATCCTCCTATCAATAAACTGGAGGTTTATTCACATCGGGTCAACATTAGGCATGACACAACTCATGTTCCGTTCGGAGCAGAACCGTGCCAGAAGAAACAAGTTTGTCATTCGGAGAATAGACCTTGAGTCAGACCCCTTGGGTTGCTTGGCACCTTGAAGAAAAGGCGCCTCTGTTTTAGAGATCGGCAGATCTCTAACATGTGTTTGCTTTGGAATGTGTTCTTGAGAGCTTGGTAATCCAGAGGTACCTCCGCATTGTTTTCAGCAGCTTCTGAGTGCTGAAAGGAATTCTTTGCATGGCATGCTTCCAAACATGGAAGTAACAGAATCGGCCATCCTCATTGCCCTTTTGCTCAAGTCTCCGAGGGTGGCAGCTTTGCAAGGCACCTTCGCTCGAACGCCGCGTTTCTTGCGTTTCCCAAAGGCTGGCCACGGAGCGGTCAGAATACCGAAGAGGGCAAGCGCCAACCTGACCCATATATCTTGCCTGTACTGAATAGTTGGAATGGGAGGAATGTGAAAGCCAAATTAAGTCATAATCCTGTTATAGTTTGGTTCACTTGCCTAAATGGTTGGAATGGCAGAGATGTGATTGGCAAATTGAGTCACAATCCTAAGATTGTGGTATGTGCAATTATGTAGGTTCACAAGGCCCAGCCAGCAAAAAGCACCCGGCCTTTCATCTGGTTGGCCACATACGGCTCAGTGCTCAAGGAGGGGTGGTGAACCGCGTGGACCAGACCAGCAAGCGCCTGAGCCCCCTAAAGGATCTGAAATTCGTTCAGCTAAGAACCCCGGATTCAAGCGGACCAACAGGGATGTCAGGGCTCAAGAGGGGATCCCACAAACACCCTGCTCCCCACATGGCCCACATGGTGGAAGAAATAATCACATCCTTTCCCTGATTCGAATGTGGGGTTCCCATCCCGACCCTACTCCACGCAAATTAACATGGCACCCAACTGGTTCCCCCAAATCGAGATCCCCCATAAGATGTTTGGGGGTTCTGTGTTCATCCGAAGGCGGGGGGCTCCGTGCAAGTCTGCATGCGGGTTCCAAACTGATTGTTTTTCCTCGTGTCACAACAGCCGGCCCAGCACCCAAGAAGTGTGTGCAACCATGTGTGCAAAGCACTGCATGCCAAGTTGCGTGAGACTTGTCCTGAGCTGAACACTCACCCAACCACTCCTGACAACTTGGCCCTACAAAAGGGTTGTTACTTTGGCATCCATGACTTTTTCATGGGAAGGCAGAAGCGCGATCAAGTGACAGACACGAAGGGCTTCTTGGGCTCCCTCTGCGTGACATCCAAACCAAAACAAGATCCTTTCTTCCAAAGAGCGGGGCCATGCCACCGCAGCTGGCGAAAGGATTTTTACCGATACAGGAAGTGCCTTCCTTTCCATTCACCTAGGGCTTCCCTGCAAGGGAAATGCAGCCATGTCTAGCGAATGACAGTGACAACGGGCTTGGAAGACCATCGCCTTCAAAAGGCCGGACGCCTCTTCCAAGCCATTGGCTCCAACAAATGCGTTTGGCCCAAGTTGGCAAATATACCAAGTCCTTGGTTCCATGAGTGTTGGAAAGATGGCATTTTCGTCCCAACACTCCTTCCGCGCCCAGTTTCCTGGGCCCCACTTGGATGACCGCCCTACCTGTGAAAGGAAGAGTGAAGTCCCCAGGTCAGTCCCACAAGCGAAAAGTCTGCCTTCGCACAACCCGTTTCGGGACCTATTTGCCGCGGATATTAACCACTTCCCAAATGGGGCGTTCATCTGACCACCACCCGTAACCCCTCGTCCACTTCGCAACATGCGTCCCCCTCTCCCTCCTACCCACCGAGTCACATTAGGGAACTTGTTGACCAAACATATTAGCTTCTTGCTGCATGCAGGGCCAATCCGAAAGGGAGCTTTCCTGGATCCTGAGCACACACAAAATCCCACACCACCTCAGAAAGCCTGGAATGGTATAACTGCCTGTAAATCCCCACAAACTATGGTGTCAACCATGGCTTCATTTTGTGGTGTTGATTTTTTCCTCGCAACCACCCGCAGGATCCCATTGATTGGGGAACTGAACTGAGGATATCTGACATCTCTGAGTGGCCGAGGCGCGGAGAGGGCCTGGTGCAGCCACTGGGCCAACTGGGTGGCGGTGGCCGACTGCCTCTCCACCCGCAGGTGCAAGGTGCGGAGGGAACGCATCAAAAGCCACACCTGGCGTTCGTCAGCATTGACCCTTACCCCGCCAACACACCCCAACAACCCCCTACCCACCTCCCTCTTAACCCCCCTTACCCACCCCCATCCACCCCCAGTTCCCACCCCCAGTTCCCACCTCCAAGTTGCCCGGCGTGGCGCCCAGCGCCACCCGATCGCTCCGCAGCTGCGCCGCCCGCGCCGCCGATTCCTCTGCCACGCAGACGGCGCCGCCCAAGACGTCCGAGTGCCCGGCCAGGGACTTGGTGGTGGCCTGAGCTGTCGGACCATCCCGGAGCTCCTCGCCCCACCCCTCCCCCCTGCCCCCCCCCCCCCCAATTTTTCTGGAGAACGGCCGGGCGACAAAGCAGAAATGGTCAGGTTACCCTCTAATTGCTTTTTTTTGGAGATTGGTGGTTTGGATTGTTGATTGTTTCTTTGAAATGGTGGCTTGGACTTGGATTTTGTGGAGGATCAAATTGGCCCTCTAATTGGTGCTTTGGATTGCCGGCTTGGGAACTTTGGATAGAGGGTCAATTGATGTCAGTGGGAAACCCCTCCCAAAAACCACCCAAACCACCAATCTAAACCACATGATTGCATAATCGATCCAAAACACCCTTGGCACGGGCTTACCTGGCACATGACTGATCAAGAAAACCAGAAGCCGATCCTCGGGCATGAATTTGCTGCCGTCTCATTAATTGATGCTCCCCCTTGCTTCGGATTGGTGGCTCCAGGGCATCAAATCCAAAGCCAAGTAAGGACCCGGAGGTCAGCTTGGAGCCGAATCGCTGGTTTGGTTGTCCAGTTACGAGACCTTAGATATAGCCAACCAATAGCAGGGTTAACTCCAATAGAAAGACTTGCTGTTTCTTATCCAACTAGGTTCCCAACAACTTGATGTTCACACGCTATTCATCAACCCCAGTTGATGAATAGGGGGAGTTGATTAATGGGGGGGTGTTCCCCGCCGAAAGTGGTCTGATACTTCCTGACACTCCCAAATAAACCGGGGTTGATGAATAGAGGGTGAAACAAATCCTGGCCGAATTCCCAAGTCGGGGAGGGCCCCGCCAGCCGAGGCCCCCGGCGTGCATCACCGCGTCCGCGCCCAGCAGCAGCGGGCGCTGCAAGGGCGGGGGCGCGAAGGTGCCGTCCACGCAGAGCACGGCCTTGGCCTGGAAAACGCGGCGCTCCGCGCTCCAAGTCGTCCATTTGCGTTTTCGCCCCCGGGAAAAATGACGGAAGACTGTGGAAGCTTAAGCCTAGGTCCTCCAGCAGAGAGTACCAACTTTTTTCTGACTGCTGTTGAATCCATAACGTCCCACTGGTGTGGGGGAAAACTGGACGGCCGGCAGCGAGACACCCTGTATGTCTTTCCTTGTGTTTTTTTTCCCGCTTCTCCGGGCTGGCATTTCAACTTTTGTGGTTTTAGTGGACCCTAGGCCTTAAGCCCACACCAACCAACCCAAACACCCGGATTCCAGCCCATCAGGACCCCTTGCCAAAGGTGTTTGCAACCCACCTGGCCCATCCGCTTTTTTGTGTCTTGTTTTTTGCCCCGAGAAGGGGGGGATGGTTGCAACCATCTGTCCGTCATTTTACGTAAAGCGGTCGATGGGCCCAAATCAGCTCATCAGCTCTGGGTTCTCTGGGCACCAGTTTGGAGAGCCAGAAGGAGAAGTCGCCCATGTTTTACCTCAGTTGACTCTTTCCCCGGCCCGATGTGTTTCTTGTTTTTATATTATTATTATTTTTATTCATTTATTTTTTCATGGGGGGGTAGCTTTTCGCAGAGGCGGCCTAGAAACAGCCCCCGGCAGCTTCAATGGCAAGGCAAGTGCTTCTCCCAAAGGTGGGGTCCCACGCCTCCTTGGCGACCTTGGCGTAGGCGGCGATATCTGCCACCTCCAACCCGGCAAACCCCCAGCTGGCAACCCCAAGAGCCCCCGATCGAGCGGAGCGATTGCCCGGACAAGTCGGCAGAGTGCATGGCTTGCCGCTAGGTCCACCTTATTTGCACCCCGAACATCTTGCGAATGGAGGAGTTCCAACGGCAGTGGACATGCGAGATGTTCTTCGAGATGGGCTTCTGAAAACGGCCAAGCGCTTCGCACGTGGTGGTTGCAAGCCCTGGGGCACCTACAAGACCAGGTCGGATCCACTCAGTTGTTCAGTGAATCTGGGGGAAAAGAAAGAAAAGGAACCCTTTTTGGGGCTTGGGCCATTTTTCATGGGGCAGCCACAAAAAAAAAGGGAAACAGATTTGGTGCCACTGAACAACTGAGACTGGGAAACTCTTCTTGGAGGCCGCGAGTTCCAGTCGCGAGACGGCGAGAATTCCGCGCCTCGCAGGTGGGGTTCAGGGGCGTCTCCAGCCAGATGACGTCCCCCTCCCGCAACTCCGCGCGGATCCTTCGGAGCCGCGAAGGGGCGGGAGCTGGGGACGGGCGCTCCCTACTGATGGACGCGAAATCCGCGAGTCTCGCACCGAAGTGAAACCCATGGAAGGAGATTCGATTCCACGTAAAAATGCCAACCAACAATCATTTCATCCATGGTTTCCAAGAGGTGCGAAGGGGATTTTGTCCATCCACAGTAGGTTGGCTTCCAGTCTATGATGTCCACTCCAAACCGAAGCTGACTTCAAGGGAAACTTGGGGTATATACCCCTTATATAGTGGCTAGCGGCTTGGTTTAGGGGTAGTAGAAACCATCTATCTTCATCTTGGAGCCCGGTCAAAAAGGCTACAGCTCTGGCTCTCTGAGGCAAGGTGTGCATAAGTTTCTAGGGGTACCTTCCCCATTCTTTCCAGGGATCCTTCTTTTCAGGAAGCCATGAAAAACCCGGGGGAAACGGACCCGGCTTCGAAAAAAAAAATGGTTGAAAAGAATGGGGATTTCAACCCCGAGAAAGTTGGAAACCTTTTAGAGGGCATTTGGGAGAGGTCCACTCAGGTGGCACCCTGTTAGAGCCACCACATGGGTTCGTGCCAAAACGGGACCGGGACCCAAATCGAGCTTCCTTTCAGCACGACTAAACCACCTAAGCTGAAAGGCTGCTTGGCCTCACCAAAACGGTGCCTTTTCAGAGGAAAACGCTCTTCCAGCTATTTCCGGTTAGGTTCACACCATTTTGAACTACCAACTACTCACCAACCCAGAGGGTCCAAGGACCGCATAGTTGAGGATTTGGAGAATCTGTAATTGACGAATCCCCTTGAACCAAACCCAAAGCCGTAATTATGGGGTAATTACCTCTGGGACCCTCTGAGCAAGAGCGACCTCACCCAAAATTGATGCGTAACACAACGGAGGACCTGCGGGAGAACTCGCTCGTCCACATGGGTGGCTTCAGTTTGGTCTTCGACCCTGAAAAAGGGCGGTCGGTCTTTTTGGGGCCATTGAGACTTGACCAAAAAAAGGGAAACCAAAAGGTCAAAAGGTCGACTCGCTTTGTGGAATAAGGTGTGTCTCTCATTTCTTCTTTTCTTTGGGGGCGGGGTGCCTGAAAGAAAGACAAGCCGCTCCATCATGAGCAAACCGCGCACACGCAACGCAGCACCGGTCCCAGCAGCCCCACTCGTTTCGCATTGCTTGCTGGCAAAGGCGCTGCTGTGGAGGCATCAGTGGCAGCTTTTGAAACGCCTGGGCCATGATGGGTCGCATTCTTTAAGAACCAGGCACTTCCGCCAAAAGCCGGTTGTTTAAATAAAACGCGGTTCTCGTTGGCCTTCACCAACCCCCCCCCCCCCCGAAAGAAAAAAAAAAGGCCGCCCATGTTCAAGGCGTATCAGACTCAACAAAGGGTGTTTCGACTTGCAGGGTTGAAACACAGGAGATCCCCGCCCCAAAAAAATGCAATTCTCTTGAATGGGGCACCCCCAAATGCCATTCTCAGCCGCCTCTTGGTTCCATGTGCCCTCTACAGGCACCAGGCTTCAAATGCAAATCCAAACCACCAATACAAACTACCAATGAAGGGTTACCTGACCTTTGGAACCCCCCAAATGACAAAGAAACTGATTGATTTTTGTTTAAGAATCTCTCTGAGGCCAGTCTACTGTCAAGGTCTCATAACATGAGGTTCTTAAGCCATGGTTTACTCCCTTGAGTGGAGCCCCCACCTGCCGAAATGGCCAGCCATCCCCGCGAAAACAACGGAAATCCGATCCCGAAGGACCCTGGCTCGAGAAAAAATCAACAGGCAAGTTGTTTAAACCAAGGTGTAATTCCATGGCTTGAAAAGAACGGTTGAAGGATCAAAAGAGATAAGCCCATGACATCTGACCAGCTCCTGAAAAACCAAGTACCCTCCCACTTTTTAGCATGGAACCTTAAGGAAAATCGTCCAAACGGTTTGGACCCCCACAACGTTCCTTGTTCCTCAGGCTGACCTTCGAAGCCTGGCGTGGCCCAGCGCTCAGCGCTCAGCGCCCCGCCTGGCCCAGAGAGATCTTCGAAAGCTGCGCCAGCACCTGGTGAGTGCCGTGGTAGCCCCCGGTGATGAAGACCCGCCTGGAGAAAAGGTGGCGGATTTTTGGGGCCGTTGGGATTTGGGGCTGTGGGTTGGAGGGATGCTTATGGGGTGGTTGACACTATATTAATAAACCCCTGCAAATTTATATGGGGGGGGTGTCCCCATAGTAACAAACAGGAGTGTATTAATCCGGGGTCAGCATTACCCGACACAAGAACCAGGGTCCCAAGCCCACCAATGCAAAAAACTGTTCGTTTCCTTGCGAAGGCTGGTTCCCGACCGCACGCTCAACGCCCCACCCCAGCGAATTTCGGCTGGACACTGGTTGGACGACTGCCCCAAGTAGCAAGTGGTTCTGAGGAAGTGGCTAACAGCTAACAACAACCTTAATAAGTCGCCAGGATATATGAAGAACAAATCCCAAAGGACTTGTCAAAGCATATATGCTCTAGGTTCCCGGGCCGTGCGAGAACAAACAATTTGAAACAGGGCGACTTTGTTGAGCACTTGCAGCTGGGACAAGCGTCAGGGCAATCTCCCAACCAGAAGTGCAGGTCTGCAAGCAAAATACATCCACAGGGGAAACCTCCGTTCATGGGCGCTGGCACTTGTAAAGGTCGTATGTGAAGGTAGCAGCTTGGGTTTTCGGACCAGGGTGCTTAGTAGCCTAGGTTAACTTGCAAGTGGGTCAGCCTCATTTCGGGGAACTGGGTTCCAACCTGGGCCGAACACGGCCGCTTTGTTTCGGCCCGCTCGGCCCTCCTTGGCATGAAGTGGGAGAACAAAGCGAAAGCAGCTGCCAGGCCCGAGCTGTAGAGCACGGCATGCGCGGGCTGCTCCTGCCATCCGAGAGCCCCAGCCAGCGCTGTGGAGGGAGGGTTCAGTGCGGGTCCCCAAATTCGACCCCAAGCACACTACGGAACCTCCGCACCTTTGGGTCAGCAGTGGATACACCAGGTCGGTATCCATGTTCTGAGGTATGTGTTTCTTTGCCAAGCGGAAAAGCCACGACAAAAGGAAGCCATGTTTGTCGCGGCATCACCTGCATCACCTGCACCACACACCACATCATCCGCATCACCAGCATCATCAGAAAGGGACAGCCCGGTTGCGTGGGTTCTCCTTGAAAGCTTCATCTGGAGGCTGTCACGACGATCTACCGTGGACCGACAAGTCGAGTTGCGCTTTGTGATAAAAAGTTCGTTGCACAAATGGCAGCTTGCCTGGTACCGGCTCACAGGCCTGTTAAACCAGCTGCTGCCCCTCAGCTTTCGTTCTTATCGACAGGCACGGGCTATGCTGGCTTGATGGCTTTCACAACCCCCCCCCCAAAACAAAACAAAAGCCCACTAAACAACACACACAACACCACACACGCACGAACAAAAACAAAAAACGGCTGGCTGGGAACCACCCGCCCCAAGAGAAATCAGAAGTTCCCGGCGCCTCAGTGCCCTCAAGCGCCCCCAGCAGCGTTTCGCAGCGGCTGCGGCCGGGGGCCGAGATGCGGCTGTAGATCTGAGCGGGCAGGGGTGGGATCCCTTCAAGGGGTGGGAGGGCAGTGGCATGTTTAGCCACCTGAGCAAGCTGGTGTGTCTGTCTGTTTTTCTTTCCCCCTTTTGGGTTGGTTTCAAGAGGCAAGCAAAAGGCAAACCACGGTTTTTTGGGAGGGGGGTCCGCCAAAAAATACACCCAAGCAGGTTGCAACTTGTAACTTATAACCAAGGCTTGCCTGAAATTATAACCTATTCGGCCAAAGGCAACGAGCCGCCCAAAAGCGCCGGCCAATCCAACTCCGACCTCTTGCCGAACCTCCCGAGTTTTGCCCAAGAAGGAAGGCCCCATACCCTGGAACCGGAGTCGGACGATGGTGTCAAAATCAAAACCCGGTGCTGAATTGGTCGAACCCCAGAACCATGTACAGAACTAAGGCGGATGTCCGCAGCTATTATTTTTTATGGCAAGGGGATCGTCCCTTACTAAGCTTCATCTAGCCGAATCGGCTTTGAGCAAGTGGCTCAATTGCGGATCAAGTAACGTTGCAAAGCCGCAGGAGGAACTCTTTCTTGCAAGCTGGTTCCATGGCATGTTCCATGTAGGGGCAATGCAGTACAGAGCCCTAAATTTTGTCTAAATTTACTTAACATGGGGCGCCGATTGTAACCAGAACTCCCCCGCCCCCTCCCCTCACAGAAAACGCACTCAACGGCCTAAATGTACTTAAAATGTGGTCTTGATTTTGTAGCCAGACCCCCCCCCCTCTTGACAGCAAGCGAACAAAGGGCGCCACTCACTCGCTGGGTCTGTCTCTGACTGCAGCCCGGCTCACGTGCCCATCACCGGTGCTGGTGAAGGTGGTGCTCACGCTCAAGGGCGGAGCTACGTCCTGGCACAAGCGGACGGGGGTCCTACTGGGTACCCTCCCTCCCACGTTGCCATGGCAACTGACACGGGGTTCCTGCGAAAGGAAATTCATCTTCAGGTAGCTCCCATGTTAGTTGGAGGAAGGGTATGTCAAAATGAGGCGTCTCCAATTTCGGGTGTTCAAACCAACCTTGAAAAGGATACCCCCAAGAAACACACAAAGGTCTTCTCGACTGGGAATAGGTGATGAATAGAAGCAAAGGGCATTCGGGGGCGGTCCAACTGGGTCATCAACACCGATCGGTACTACTGTGGATGGTTGCGAAATCCATTTCGCACCACCATTTGGAAACCATGTTGAAACCATAAGGTTTGTTTGTATTTACAGGGGCATCGAATCATTCCAGGGTTTCTTAGGTGGTGCGAAATGGAGATCCGTCCACAGTAAAATCGTATAGCGGCGGCTAAGGCAACCATTTTTGTGGTTTGGATTTTTCCTTACTAGCCTTCATCTACCCAGGTTTTTTAATTTTGGCTCAGCTGGTTGTGTGTCACAATGGAGAGCCCCAAAAAAAATGTGTTTTTCCCCAACGGCTGGAAGGGGTCTCAGCCCAGATAGGCTCCGGGGTGGTCCGGGGCGGACCTGAGGTAAGGTTTCACGAGGGTTCCACGAGGGTTCCACCAGGGTTCCACCAGGGCTCCACCAGGGTTCTACCAGGTTTCCACAAGGGTTCCACAAAGGTTCTGCGAGGGCTGCCCTGAGCTTATTTTCTTGTAGCCTTTAAACTATCTGTGAAAGGATACCCTTAAGAAACACACCGGTATATTATTATATATTCTCGACTGGCCGAATAGGAACAACGCCAAAACCGAAAATGAACAAGCCTTGCAAGCCTGCAGGCCCAGCGGGCCTGAAAAAGAAGACCCAACTGGCACAGGTTAGCGCCCGATGCACAACAGCTCAGAATCACAAGTCGCCCCTTCTACACCCAGGACACCTCCAGTTTTGAACTTCAAAGTGCTTGCGGGGGTGGTGTGCTGAAGGGGCCCCAAAAACGGATTCAGACGAAACCCAAGCCCCACCCAAACCCACCCGCAGGGCTTCTGGTGACGTCGGATTGAAAAAGATGCTGGAGGGTGTCAAAACAATGCGGATGTTGACGGTGCAGTTTGCTAGACAATGCTGTACAATACGCCATTGTAGCGCCCATCGATTCTAGGAAATGCAAAACCGAGGGGTTTACGGTGGGGCTTAGGTTGGCTTTGGGATTGTGTATAGGGAAGTTCTAGGGTCGGCTCAGTGCGGGTCTTGGGTTGAGGGTTGGGTTTAGGGTTGGTGGTTTAGGGTTTAGGGCTGGTTTAGGGTGGGTTTAGGGTGGCTAGACGATAGGGTTTTCTTGGGTTGGTTTTGCGCCGGTTTGGTGTGGATGTGGGGCTGGTTTAGGGTGTGTTTCCGGTAGGGTTAGGCCGGTTCAGTGCGGCAGAACGTGTGGTTCAGGGATGGTGTTGTGCTGGTTTCAGGGTGGGCTAAGATTGGTTTAGGGCCTGAGTGGGTTTCGTACGCAGTCTATCTTAAAAAGTTGGCACCAACTTTTTTCTGTAGTCTATCTTAGTAGGGGAACCCTCCTTGGCACAGGAGCTCCTCCCAGCGTCAGGTCAAAAAAAGGGGAACCCTCCGCCAACACTCTAGGGGTACCTTCCCCATTCTTTCCAGGGATCCTTCTTTTCAGGAAACCATCAAAACCCCAGGGCCAGGGGAAACAGCCGGTCTTTGAAAAGAACGATGGTTGAAAAGAATGGGGAATCAACCCCTAGAAACACTGGAAAACCTCGTTGAGGCTGGGTGACACGGCTCTCTCTCGCGCCTGCGCCGTCGAGAAGGCCGCCCGCAGCGCCTCGCTTGAAGCCGCCGAGCGAGCGCGCTATCGCCGCCCCCGCCGATGCGATACGGATGCGTCCAAAAAGAACAAGGGACCCCCCTCCCCCCCAAAAAAACAACAACAACAACAACAACAACAACAACAACAACAACAACAACAACAACAACAACAACAACAACAACAACAACAACAACAACAACAACAACAACAACAACAACAACAACAACAACAACAACAACAACAACAACAACAACAACAACAACAACAACAACAACAACAACAACAACAACAACAACAACAACAACAACAACAACAACAACAACAACAACAACAACAACAACAACAACAACAACAACAACAACAACAACAACAACAACAACAACAACAACAACAACAACAACAACAACAACAACAACAACAACAACAACAACAACAACAACA